GGGGCAGAAGATCAAGGTGGTGATGGCCGCGTGCTTCTGGCAGAACCCGCACATCATCGTCCTGGACGAGCCCACCAACTACCTGGACCGGGACTCCCTCGGCGCCTTGGTGCAGGCCATTCACGACTACAAGGGCGGCGTCATCATCATCTCCCACAACCGAGAGTTCGCGGGGGCGGTCTGCCAAGAGAAGTGGATCATGGATAAGGGCCGCTTGCGTCGGGAGGGGGAGTCGGTAGCCTTGCACGAGGAGGAGGAGAAAAAGGAGGAGCTTGGGGACAAGGTGGTGATCGACGCTCTGGGCAACGAGATCAAGGTGAGTCTCCTTGTTTTCTGGGCCCGGCGGCTCTGTGATCCTTCACACGGCATATTCCTGGGTCGTCCCAAGTCCCTGCGGTGTCCGTCTGCAAACTTTCGCCTCACAATATCCCCTCCTCCCGCCTAACCCACTCTGCTCGATACAGGTGAACAAGCAAACGACCCTGTCCGACAAGGAAAAGAAGAAGGAAATCAAGCGGCTGCAAAAAATGATAACCGACGGGCGGAAAAAGAAGACTCTGAATGAAGATACGATCCTGGACCTAGAGCTGAAGCTGGAGGAGCTGAAGGCCGCCCCTTGACCGGGAATTTAGAGGAGGCGATGTCCTATTAAAACCACCATCAATATAAGAATATCAAAATGATGATATCTAGTAGTATAACAGAAAAAGTCGTTGGTAACCGACTGGCGTAGAAAAAAGGTAAAGAAAAGATGAGTCAAGTAAGACAAGGGGGGCGGAACTGAGGGAGCGAAAGTAAGCCAAAGAAACAAAATTATAGGTTGCTGCATTCGTAAGGGACGCCATTTAGCAAATGAGAAATGTGTAAGCGCAGGAATAAATGAGTTCTGAAAATCATGCATGTGAATCTCGCCTATCTAGATGGAGTCCGTATGGCAAGTTAGAGAGAACGACTAGTAGACGGCAGCAAAAGGAAAATGAGCCAGCCCTTGAACTGTTTTAATTTCTATAAAGAAGTAATTAACTAGTGACCTCGTATAAACGAGTTAGGGAGTGTCCAGCCTGACACACTCATTCGCGGGAATGTCCGAAAAGTTTGTGGGTAGATAGATTGGACACGATACGAGCCGCTTTAGTTGATGGTGGATGACAGCCACGCGTACTATCATTCGTGCCTGTATCATGTCCACGACTGGCAGACACGTGGATACCGTATGTTACCACCCGACTCGGTGTTAATTCATAAGCACACACGCCAATACGCCGTAAAGAATGCCGGACACATGGGCCGTGACCTCCTGGCCGCGTGCGCGCTATGACGCCGACAAGTTCGCTAATGCAGGACAAATTCAATTTCAAGAGCGAGCGGGCCGGCTTGCGTCCTGTGGCACGCTTGGTAGGGGGCGCACCGTGCACCGATGGCGGTTTGTCCTTTCGCGCGTTTTATGATATGACTGCTGAATGTTAAAAGTAATTGTAAGGGGCTTTTGCCGGGGTTGCGAAAACTTAAAAGGACATAGAATGCAGAGCTTTCCCACTCAAGTGCTGCGTCTCGATCCCACCCTTCCTCATCTATACATCCATACGTCACTCAAAATAACGCTCTTAAACCAACGTCAGGAGGGACTTCGGCAGATTATTTGGGCGCTTTCAGTCGGACAGACAGAGGTGTACCACAATTTTCGGCGCATCTCGTCTCCTTTCCCCCGTCCCCTCTGTTGGAGAATTGAGCCTGAGCCCCAGCCTTGTGACGCCCTGAGACCACGCCTGCCCGGATTTGATTCTTACATTATTTTTACCGGAAAACCCGCCATTTAGAAGCTGGTGTTTTTGCATGGCATTAAACCCCACGGGCGACAACGGCTTCAGCCTCCAAGATGCCCACTTTGAGGTAGACAAGCTCGACACACAGCTTCATCCTTCCCATCGTCCCCACCATCAAGGCGGCTATGCGCAACCGTCGCCAGCAGGCATTGCCGTGGGAGAATCGGAGGCATTTGCCACTGGTACAGGATGGCCGGCCTCACCAATACCAGGGGTTCCGCCGGTACGCACACGGGAGGAGTACAGTGTCCGCTACAAAGAGCGAGTGCACCGCCTCGAGGCCAACGCCTCCCTTTGGGACTACTTGCTCTTCGTGCCCCACGCCATGTACATGTTCATGAACCGGTTGTGCGACGCATTCGGTTTCAAATTCATCGGCCTCCTGATGTGCGTGTACGGGCTCTCGCAGGGTCTGGGCGAGAACTACATGTCCATGTCCACAGACTACTACTTGAAGGACGTCTTGAAGCTCGAACCCGCCTCGGCCCAGGCATTCAAAAGCCTCACGCACCTGCCCTGGAACATCAAGCCCATCTACGGCCTGATGAGCGACACATTGCCCATCATGGGCTTCAAGCGCAGCCCCTACATCATTTTGGCGGGCGGTCTGGGCGTCACCGCCTGGCTGACCCTCGCGCTCCTGCGACGACCATCCTTTAACCTCTCCGCCTTCCTCATCCTCCTCGCCAACTACAGCATCGCCTCCCCCGACGTGATCATCGACGCTGCTATCACCGAGCGGTCGCAGCTCGCGCCCATGTATGCCTCCGACCTCCAGTCCCTCTCCTGGGGCAGCCATTCTCTGGGCGGGATCCTCGGCTGCTCCACCGTCGGCCAAGCACAGGCGCACTTGCACTCCCGCGGCGTGTTCGCCCTGACCTCTCTCACCTCCCTCTCCATCCTGATCCTGGCCTCCTTGCGCTGGCTCCCGGAGAAACAAATCCCTCGGGGCCCCGAGCGTTCCAACGCCTGCCGCCTGGCCTGGCATAAAGGGGGGCAACGCTCCCTTTACCTCCTCGCCTTTTTCGTGGCCTTGTGCGCCGTATTTCTCGCCACCACCATCAACCACATCGAAAATCGGCTGACCGGGGGCTACATCACTATCGCCGTCGCCGTCATTGTCACCGCCGTCGTCTACACCACCCTCGGGCGAATATCCCCGAAAATTGCCCGACCTGCCATATATTTCTTTCTGCGCGAGGCCCTGCAACCCAACATCGCAGAGGCCATGTTCTACTGGTACACGTCGGCGGAGGGCGGCCCTGGCTTTAAACCCCAGTTCTTAGGGATTTTGAACTGCATCGCCAGCGTCTCCATGATTGTGGGCATCTCCCTCTACAACAGGTAGGGTCCCGTGTAGGGGTACAGCGGGTGTCGATGCACACAATGCTCCGGCTTGTGGCGCGAACGTGGCCCGTCATGTAAGTTGAGGACGAATCCTGCAGCCTGAAGCCCCTCCCCCTCCCCCTTCCCGCTTAGGTATATGTCCACCTGGAAGTACCGCACCATATTCATCGCCTCGCAATTCTTGATGGTGGGCGCCGGCATGCTGGACTGGGTCCTGGTCAAACGCTTGAACCTCCGGGTAGGAATCAGCGACAAGGCCTTCGTGCTCGGGGACGAGGCCCTGGTCCCTTTATTGCGCCGCTTCGCCGCCATTCCCTTCTTCGTCCTCGCGGCCAAGGTCTGCCCGGCGCGCTGCGAAGCCACCCTCTTCGCCCTGCTCATGGCCCTGAGCAATTTTGGGGGCGATGTGGGGAGCTACATGGGCGTGGGATTGCTCAAAGCCTTCAGCGTCTCACGCGCGGACTACTCCCGGCTCCCGCAGGTGGTGTTGGTCAAGACCTTCTGCCGGTTCATCCCCGTCATGCTGATCCCTTTCCTCATCCCCGACGCGAGCCCGGCCGATGAGATCTTGACCGAGAAAGAGAAGCTCCTCAAGGAAGGGGAGGATGAAGAGGGCGACGGGGAGGACGGCGGCGAAATGGAGGGCGTGGAGATGGGCCGCGCGGTCATGGAGGAAGAGTCCAGTCCTGCGCGGCGGCGGCAGAAAGGCTCCAGTGGGAGTGAACGCGGGCTGATGGGACAAAGGCTGGAGGGAGGGAGGGAAGGAGGGGTCGGGGGGGGAGAGGTGCGGCCGGAGCTTGGTCATCTCGGCACGCCACTGACCATGGCGGGCGGCGAGAAAGATTCCTTGTAGGGGTAGCGGGGTTTTGAATAGGGGCAGGGGCGCTCCAAAGTTCAGTCCGCCGATCGTTGGAGGTGACGTTGTGCCCTGCTCTCTCTCGTATGAGGGAAGAATGGGTTGATTAGAAGGGGTGCGGAGGGGTGCGGAGGGAAGGGGAAGGGGGTGCACAGATGAGAAAGTCGTGCATGGCTTTCGTATCAGGATGCGGTCACTCCATAGTGGACGGGCGGCGTGTAAGTAAATAAGTATGGTTAGATGGGGATTAGATGCAAATCATCCGATGGAAATGAATTGAATTTACCCAAAGCCTGGAAGGAAATAAACTGACAAAGAGTCATGTACGGGTGTAGATGGCCTTCCTCCCGTGCGATAGCGGCCGCGGCCTTTTTTTCACTGCACCGGTCTTCTTTCGTTACCGAGTATGTGAGAGACCGTGCAGTTGACAGCCAGCTACCCTTACTACCCGTTCTTCATTCCCTTCATCACGTCATTTAACCGAGGGAATGCACGGTTCCCCTGCGGTCCTATCTTCTATCTTCTCAATATCTGACACAGCCGCTCACAAGACATGTTACTTCTTGAAGCTCTTTCTCCTGGAGGGGTAGGGCTTTGTCTCCAATCTACTTCAATGCCGGAGTTTGAACATCGACACGATCGTCTCGGCGCTTGTTGAATGCTCCGCCAAGCCCAGCTGGCTTCCTTGGTTCCCTCCTCCCACGCTGTGTCTTTCTGTCGCAGCACACTTGGGCTCACCCTCGATCTCCTTGTCGCAGTCCCTCTGGGGACATCTGGAAGAGCCGAGTCAGAGTACGACCTTCTCCTTCCCACTGCCGTTCTCTCGAAACCTTTCTTTCCCCTGTTGCCACACTACCATGGGAGGACTCTTGCACTCTGCTTTGCGGACACGGGCGAGGGAGGGAGAGGGGTTGGTTGCTTTGCGTCTTCAGTCTCTCTGAGTGACTCAACTGCATTGGTACGTTGTCCCTTTTTCTGCAAAAGCTCCGTCGTCGGCAAGGTTGGGAGGTGAGAAATCTCAAAGAAATCGCCGCTTCTGCTGCTATGGCGGCTGTTATCTCTGCTCCGACTTGAGCTCAGGCTACTGCCACTGCTGCTTCGAGGGCCGCTCACCCCTGGAGATAGCGGGGGGAGTTGAGAGAGCACGGGGCGAGCACCCACTGTCGCCGAGGCGGGGTATGCAGGCGATGCCCGGTCCTCTCCTTCGCCCTTCCCATCGGCCCCTTCCATGCCACCTTCGTCTCCTCCGAGCGATCCAGCCCCGCACTCCCACAGGCGGCGCGAAGCAGTGGTCAATGCCGGTGTTTTGGGTTCCAGGGGCGGTAAATGGACGGTCCGCTTATGTTCCAGCATCTTCTGTCGCACCTTGTGGCTGAGAGAGCTACGGAGGGAGGGCGGGGGTGGGGAGGGGGTGGCTCCGCTGCGTTGCTCCTGAATGGCGAAGAGAGCAGGGAGAGAAGGCAAAGGCAGAAGACTGTCCGCCACGATATGGTCGTCACTTTCCGCCCCGTGATTGTCACTGTCAATGGGTCGAAAGGACTGCACTCCGTCTCCTTGAACACCTTCGCCCATCCCAACCCCTGCTCCATTCTCCTCCTCCTCCCCCTGGCACGCGGCCCCCTCTCTTCCTGCCTCTTCGGCCCGGATGCTAGCTAAGCCCCTGGGCTTCGCCTTCTTTTTCAGCACCTCGGGCAGGGGACTGGAGCCCGCTACCCGAAGGCTCCGTGTCCTGCCGCTCATCTGTGTACCGTGCGTCGACATGGTGACACTGCCAAAGGGCGCCTCGCTTCCCTCTAGGCCCTCCGTGAGAAATCCTTCTCCCCCCGGCAGTCTTACCCATGGATGCGTCACTATCTCCTCCATTCCTCTCCGTCCCGCCGGGTCCAGGACTAAGAGCCCCAAGACAAAGTCGATCATTATAGGATCTAAGTCCAGTCGCTCACGCATCGTTCTCTCGATCCCTTGCAGGCTTTCCCTCATCTTGGCCTCGAAGGCAGGTGGATCATGCAGCAACTCATAGTCGTAGGCGGCCATCCACTCCTCGCAGAAGATGTCGTGACCCACGCTGAGTTCTAGAAGGATGCACCCCACGCTCCACAAGTCCGCCTTGGGCCCGTCGTAGCCCATGGACTGAGTGATCATTTCCGGGGCGAAAAATCCGGGGGAGCCGCAGAAATCCTTCAGAAACTGTCCGCGGACAAAGGAGGAACAGAGTCCGAAGTCGCAGAGTTTGACGTCGAACAGAGAGTGTGTCGCGTGCCCGTCCTGGCTCGGCGCCTTCTGGCTGCCTTGGCTGGAAGCTTGTCCCTGTTCCTGCTCCTGCCTCGACCTCTCTTCCCCACCGGAGGGGCTCTGCTCCTGCCTCGACCTCTCTTCCCCACCGGAGGGGCTCTGTGCGAGCCCGCTCCCTCTCCCGCCGCCCTGCTCCTTCATTTCCCCTCGCCCCTCGCTTTCGTCGTGGGCTGTTTTCAGCAATATGTTCTCAGGCTTGAGATCCCGGTGGCACACTCCTCGCGCGTGGCAGTAGTGAATCGCATTCAGCACTGCACGCGCTAGGGTCTGGCAATCAGGCACCGGGAGGCGAGCATCCCCCCTTTCGTCAATGTAGTCGAAAAGATCTGGAGACATTTGAGCATAAAGATGGAGGAAGGAATATGGAAAAACTTAAATTTGCACAGAGACCTCCATCCTCTTCCGCCACCAAGTCTTGCCCGCTCTCATTTCTCTCCCAGTTCCTTACCTTTGCCTCCCTTCTCCATGACCACGTACAGCCCGAAGCGACCGTTAATAACGTCCAAAACCTGCAAGATTCCTCGGTGTTTCAAAGTGCGCTGGGCGCTAATTTCACTGTCCACCCGCCGAAGCGCCGTCAGACTTGAAATTTTCTCCTTGTTGATGACTTTCAACGCGTACTCTTTCCTCCGGCCCTCCGCACCTCCGTGCTTCCCTTCTTTCCCACCGCGCGTGCAAGCGAATACCTTGGCGAACTGTCCCTCTCCCAAAAGACGTCCGACCCGGTATGGGCCGACTTGGGCCTCGGTTTCAACTAGCCGCGCGGGTACAGGGTGGGAAGGTTGTCGATGCTGTCGCTGTTCTTCGTACCCAAGGTACTGTTGGTGCTCCTCCGGGCTGACATGCATGGGAGGGATGGACGGGAAAGAGGAGGTGGTGGAGGGAAGGAACCCCCAGAGTACCTCGGCGATGTTGGCTTTGGCCTCGTCATACTTCTCGCGGAGGAGAACGAAATCGTTGTAGAGCTGTTTCTGGCACTGATACGAGTGAAGCGGGAGGAAGAGGAGGCAGGAAGGAGTGAATCTGTCTTCCGTTTAACGGAGGCCCCTCGAGGTATCAGACTTCTAGCGGATCGGTCCCCCGCTTTTTTTGGTTCTCAACCCGCCCGACGCCCTTACCTTTTGTAAGCATTTTACGTTGTCCAAGGAGCCTTTAAGTTTCCCTTCCACCTCCGCCAACCGGTAGCGCAGCATGGCGTTTTCTTCGTTCAAAGTCGCTAGCATCATAGCCTGTGCTTTTCCTTCCTTTTTGTGCTCTTCTTCTCTATCTAATTCCCGCCATGGAGCCGCTTTCCTCTCCTCCTTTTCCCGCCCGCACGCACTGTCCGAATCGATTTCATCCGCTTGGCTCATCTTCTCGGCGCCCGACGACTCCCGCCGCCAGGTGGGTGCCCCTTCTCGGGTAGTATGAAAAGGAGATGACCAGGAGGAAGAAAGGGAGGAGGAGTGGAGGGGGCCAAGACCCCAGGATGAGGACTGGTCCTGACCCGCGACGACCACATTGCCACGTCCAGAGGATGATCGACGCCGGGCATCAGCCAGGTTTGCATCCAAGCTTGAAAGCGTGTCATCAATCAGCCGACAGCGCAAAAACCATCTCCGGGCGTTGCTACTAGCGCTGCGAACCCTGCGGGAAGCGTGGAGGGGTAAATCTAAATCATCCTCGTCTTCCTCCTGTGATCCCTGCCGCCCTTCCACTAGATTTTCCTCTTCTGGGGAAATTACAGGCAGCGTTGGATTTAAAGCTAGATATAAAATATTCAGCAATTCTTCTCGAGGAGGGGGGTCATGAAATAGGGGGATTACTATGTCATCGCCGCCACTGCCGCCGAAACTACTTCTGCTACTGCCCGGAAACTTTTCAGTGCCATGGACATGGGGGGCAGAGAAGAGGGACGTGATAGTAGAGGAAATACTGTGGGCAGTATTGATACCTTGTGTACCGTTTTTGAGAAGCGGGGACGTCAACGACGAAGCCGTGGTACAGAATGAGGCCTCAGTAGTGGCGGGGGATGCGATGGATGCTATAGCCAACGAGTCTTGTCGGTCTTCTTTGAAAGCAACCCCTTTATGAGTGCTCCTAGCGCTTATTTTTGTCGTTTCTGTGCCGAGCTGCTTTCCGTGATCCATAAAAGAAATATTGTTGTAATAGTGTAGTCCCTGTACACGCGCATGCGCGTTCAAGTGATCGGAAAGACAGTTAGAACTGGCAACAAAAGTACGTGTCAGGCCTCCACTAATCAATAATAAGCACAATTTTTTGGAATCTGTTGCATAAATGTGCAGTGTTAAGCTTCGACCCCGTAATGATATCGTGTAAATGATCAATAAGGGGAGAAGCCACGACACGATATTGAGCGCTGGTGTAGTGAAAATGAATGGGAAACCGGACATGTCTCCGTGTAAAGGCATCACTAATTTTGCACTGATGTAACAAGACTTTATACAAAATCTATATGACTTCAAAAGGGGACTTGTGCCCAAAAAGACACGCCAGAGAGACGAATAATCTTCCTGACCGGGCTGGAACGATGGCGTCACCCCTACCGGATATTCAAATTTTTGAACGTTCAAATCATTCGGACGCGAAACACAGCAGCTTTCACAACTTCTTTTGATACTTTTACGACCTAAAATGAGGATGTTTTTATCAAGACAATATTCTAGTATGCCCATTGCGGGTGCCGGTCACGTCCGAGCAGCTTGATTCGCGGGGTGTTTCGAATTGTGTTTCTGCTGATAGTTTTTTCCCACCTCCCGTTCCCCCGGTGCTACTGCCACATCCTCAGCTTGATGAAAACACGGCCGTTCCCCATGCATGCTTTTACTTTCAAAGTCGTCCTTCCTAAGCGTGCATCTGATTCACTTTCCCAAGCGCTTAATGTACTTCCCCAGGTATGACATCGCCGAACGTCTGAAGCTGACCAGATCTTTAAATTCATACAACCAGAGTTGTGTCAGGCGCACCAGCCTTCGAAATAAACCGCTGCCTTTCTTCATATTCCCGAAAAGGAAATTGGCCATCTGATGGGGAAAATAAAAAAGAAAAGCATTTGATAAGTGGGTCCTGTGCCAGCCGGCGATGCACCGCAAGAGGGAAAGCGTAAGCGAGGAAACTGGGTCTGAGGAGGATGCGGGACACGAGTAACGCAACGTACAGCCGCTGTTAAGGATCAAGAAAAGAAGCAGGAGACAAGACACCAAGGCCGAGGAAGTGGGGGCACGAGATAGGCGACCACGTACCATAGGATCAACAATGTGTTGTATGCGGTACCACCGGGCCTTTTCCGAATAAAACCCGAAGATTTGGTGCAAGAAATATAGAGCTGCCGCGAGTGACAAGTTAATACCTGGCGAAAATTATGGAGGGAGACGGGACGGGGGGAGAGATAAGCACGAGACACAGCAGCCCACAGGCACGAGAAGGAAAACTTGCAACACAATTCTCACCAATCCATTGCAAAAGCGTCTGACGTCTCCGAGACGCGAAGAAGTAAGTAAGAACGAAGGCAAGACCGGCGGCAAGCTGCAGGAATCCCATGAGGAGTCCTTCAAAGACGAACATATCGGAAGTGTCGCGGGTTGAGATCAATTTGACCTTCTGCTGCGTGATCCCGAAGGGCGGGGGGCGTCGGATTATGCAGTAGATCATGCCGCCCGTGGCAATGGCGAAGACCAGGTACGAGAAACACAACCAGAGAGGGCGTCGAAAGGGCAGCGTTTTGGTCCAGGACCATTGGTCCATCAGGAAATAGACGGCCACTGCCGCTAAGACGGCAAAGAGCACTGCGCCCTTGACAGTCGCTCGCACGTCGGGGACGCGCTTCAGGGTCAGGCCGATCCGATCCTCCAACTCTTCCGCGATGGCCGTGCCACCACTTGTCACGCTCAGTTCGTCCAAATTGCGCGCCGGGAGGGAGAGGGCCTGGTTGGCGGGAAAGAAGAACAGGTGTGGCACCGTTTGCAGCTGGAACTTCTCGTGGACAACCGCCGGCGCTGTCTCCACGTCGGCCCGCGCGAAGATGAGGGGGGGCAACTGATTGTCGCTGGGTCGACGGGCGTTCCTTTGCAGGTAGGTGTTGGCCATACCTTCGAACTCGTTCCCGACAATGCTGTAGGAGGGGGGGGAAGGGGAACTTTTGAGGACCGAGGATGGCGTAGTATGGGTGCACGAAGACCAGAAGCCCTCTGCACTGTGCACCGCCACATTCGACTCGCCGTTATCCTTCCTCCCTTCGGTACTCACTGGCAAGCCTGGCACCCGTATTTGGGGTTGGCGGCCGTGAAGAGGATCACCACGGGGAAACTGCGTTTTTGACCGGGCTTGATCAGCATGGCGTCGAATTTGCTGTCGTCAAGCTCCAATACGTGCGACGGGGACTCGACCATCTTGGCGTAGTACTAGGGAGAACGAGAGATGGCGATGAAATGGGTTTGTAATTCAGGGTTGATAATGTACCTTGAGGGGTAGGGCAGGATCCGTCGTGGGGAGCAAGAAAAGGACCAAGGACATGCTAAGAGAGAGAAAAGGGATTGCCACATGCATGGATTACTGGCTGGTTGTTGAATGGGAACAGACGAAGCACACAGGCATAGCTCTTTACAATTTCGTACCTTTTGAAAGGCGGTCGTGCTGGCCCTTGTCCCTTCCGTAGCCGTGCTGGGCTTCACGGTTTGCGCCGAAGGAAGACTAAAGACAAAGAACGCGACGATGATCCGGGAGACAAGGGACTTGTGCCCCCACCCATGTTTTACGCTTGCTGTCATTCTCACGAAAGACCTACCAGGGCGTGTATGTGATCAAGGAGCGCGAGTCAGTGACTGGGGGCCCCGATCAAAGTTTAAATGAGACCGCATTCATTGAGTCACGCGCACTACTTCATGTGTGTGTGACAATAATACAAGAAATGGTGCCTTGTCCACTCCCAGGTTGGCCTGGCGTTCAGTGTCCTCCTGAGCCCATGCGAATGTTCTTCGTATCGCTGAGACTTAATAGCGACGTTTTGCAATTAATCGAGTTTAATCAAGTCATGGAAGAGAACCGATGGGCTTTTGTCTGCGGCAATTGAACGGCGCTCGGAGGAAACGAGGCCACGAAAGTCCTTTCATTGAATGGCTAAGAGCTTCATATTTTGCTAAGGGCTTGATTTTATTCGTCGTATTCACAAGATTACATTTTGTGTGCAATATTTACCTCTCCTTGCATGCATATTAAGGACCTGGCATGGTGAGAGGCGAGCCGTTGAAGAGACAAGCTAAGAAATTCTGTGGCCGGTAGTGTTGCCGGTCAATTCTTTCTTTCACATCTTTTGTAATGGAATATATATCCTGGCACTTTTTGGGGAGTTTTGGCACAGTTGCTGCCGTTTTTCGAATGGTTTTTAGGACGGAATAAGCTGGTTCGAAGAGGGCACGGGATCCATTTTTCCTATCCTCTCAAGTATACAAAGATATAGAATATGGCATATCTTTGACTATTATAACATTTTATGGTGACACATTGTAGGAAAAGAAGTCGGCCTCCAGCAATGTGTGAAGATTTGTCGTAGGTAAGCTCGCGATTCCATCCTCAACACCGATCTTTAGGGGGGGAACTTTGCACTAATTTGCTAAAGAGAAACAGCCATCCGCTCGTTCTCTCTTCTCGAAAGGAATAGATAGTATGGGAAAAGGCCCCGGTCATCTAAGGCGGGGTGATGAAGCAGGCATGGTACGTATTTATAAAAAAAGAGATGGATTAGAGTGAGTTGGCTCAGGAACCTCTCGTCTCTCACAGAACCAAAACCATGAAAACGTCAGCCGGAGAAGGCCAACCCTAATCGTCCGCTTTCTTCCTGACTTCTACTTCTCCCTCTCATGCCTGTTCCCACTTTCCTCTCTCTTTTCCCCAGCCTCCCGGTATTCCTCGAGACGCCTCCCTGTCCGGGCCCCGCCCCAATAGCGACAACATCGGGCCATCATGCTCGCCACTGGTGCCAGCGGCTACCCCTGTGGACCTTCATACGTTGTGGGAGTGGACCATGGCTGTCTCCTCTTCCTCATCACGCCGCAAACGTTTCCACGCCGTCGTGCAGGGGCTCGCGGGCGAGAGGGACGAGGCTCTCCACAGGCTCCACGCCGCCGTGTGCGAGCTCCGGCGGCTACAGCGTGTGGAGAGGGAAAGCAAGAGCTTGCGAGTCGGCCTCCGGTCGTCGGAGAGAATCCGAGGACAGCTGACATCCTTGCTGGAGGAGTGCGAGCGCTCCTGGGTCTTGTCTCCTCCTCCCTGCGCCTGTGCCCGCAAGGACTTTCCTCCGGCTGGCGTCGTGATGGGAGGCGGTCGAGGCGGGGGGAAAGAGAGCGCCAAGCTGGATGAGGCTGCGGACGAGGGGAAGAAGGAAGAGCCGAAGGAGGAAAAGGGGAAGGAGAGGGAAGAGAAGAAACTTGCGGTGGAGAAGGAGGACGAGGAGGAGGAGCAGCAGCAACAGCAACAGCAGCAACAGCAGCAGCAGCAGGAGGAGGAAGAAGAAGAGGAGGAAGCGCATACAGACGACGGTGGGGAGAAGGGGGAAAATGAAGACAAGAAAAGAGAAGAAGTTTTCCGGGGGCACTGGCGGGAATGGGGCCTGACGGAAAGCGAAGAGGGCGGCTCTCCTGAGGCCGGCCTGGGGGCGAAGAACGCCAGAACGGCAGAAGCCTCCTCCTTCCCATCCTGCGGGGCAAGCGGTAGCACCCTGACCACTGCCGCCAGCATCTTGTCGGACGCAGAGGGCTTGCACGCGGTCTTCTGTCGGTATTCCAGCCTGCAACAGCACCGCTCCAGCGCCCACCGTCCCGTCCCCGCTGCCCTGATCGCCAAGCCTTCTCCTCCTTCCTCCTCCGGCATGCCCCCCTCCCTCTTCTCCTCCCGGGGGGAGCTGCTGGCAGCGGCGAACGAAAGGAGGAAACACGCGACAGAGACCAAGAGTGCGGTGCTTCATAGCTCGGTGGTAGCTCACGTGCCTGAAAATAGAGGGGAGGTGACGAGGAGGAAAATGGGCGCCTTAGCAGGAACAGAATCCGAGGATCGCGTTGTAAAGGCCGGCAGCAGGGGGGATGTCGAGGGGGAGGAGACCGGCAGTCGTCCTGGGGGAGAGCTGCGGGACGATCCTGGCATGGGGCCCCTCGATGGGCGGAGGGCAAAAGGCGGGAAGCAGGGAGAGCAGAAGCCAGAGACGAAGACGAGGACGACGCAGGAAGACAGCAAGGACGCGCTTTTGGGGTCCAGATCTCTGGTGCATGTCGGTCATCGCAGACAGAAATCCTCCCAGGCCTCCGCCCGCCTCTTTCCTGCGGGCACAGAGACGGCGTGGGGCAGGCGTGTGGGACCCCGACCCACCAAAGAGGAGCTCTCCTGGCACCAATATTGCCCTGAGACGCCTTGTCGACGGACGCTTCCATCCATGGTAGCGCCGTCCGCCCCCCACTCGCCCTCCTTCTTGGCCCTGGCCCCCCTCTTGCCCGACACCCGGGCGGGCAGACCCAGGAGGGGGAAGGGAACGGGGAGGAAGGAAGGTAGCCGTCAGAAGGGTTATGCGGGTGCTAGGCCGGCGGAAATGGGTGGGGTGAGCGGGAAGAGCGTCGATAAGAAGACAAGGACGAGAGGAGTGATGGCTTCAGCCACGGCAGGCTCGGTGACCTCCACACGCTTGCTCTCGGCCCGTGACACGTTAAAAATCTCCTTCTCTGACGCGGACGCCGGACCCCGCCTGCCTCTTGCGGCCTGGCGCGATGCGGAGGCTCGCTCTATTTCTCACACTGCCACCTCCGTCTCCTCCTCGCGGCGTCTGTGGGTCTAATTGAGGCGATCAAGGGGAGGGCAAGGAGGAAGCAAGCTAAAGATATGTGTACCCGGGACGTGGGAAACTTTAAATAGAATTGGGGAGGCCGAGAAGGAGGAAGGATCTGAATTGTTTCATTCCTGCGACGTGGATTACGTAATCGATTAATTGAGCGAGGGGAAGGTACAGTGTGGAGGTAGAGGCGAAGGTGAGTGTGGGTTGCCAAAGGGTCTACCCATCACCCAAATGGAAGCGGAGTCTTAATTTTTAAATACCTGCCACTGTCCGCCGGCACCAGTAGCGAAAGAAGACGAGAGGAGATAGATTCTGACATGATTGATTGAAAGCAGGTAACTTTGACATTCGACAAGACGACGATACTGCGGCCAGCGCCGGATGCGTCGGACTGCACCCAGTCGACGATATTTAGAAAGCATTTTTAGTAATGCCCATTCCAATTCAAATACCTGCCCCGTATGAGATTTACTTGGAGTGATGCTTTGTGAAGCTATCGCAATGGCGTCTGTAGAAAGCACTGCGAATAAGAGGTTCGATTTTTGACTAAGCAAGAATGTGAAGGAGTGAAAACTCAAACTCAAGTTGTTTGGGAGGGTGCTCCAGACTTTCCCAAAGGCGGGGAACATGTTAACAATGTTTGCGCGCATAAACAACGTTTTAAAGGGAAGCAATTTTGTCATTTGCAGAAGTTCTCGATCGACGGACTCGGACACTTTGACCTTGGTCTCCTTACTTCTTGGCGGGGGTGTCTTGGTGGGTCTGACGACGCAGTAAGCACTCCATTCCTCTTGAGTGCACACGGTCGCCACCTTCTCCCCACACCACGTCTGCCCTAGGTCACGGTCCCATGAACATCTCGACTGGTGAGAGCCTACCCCCAAACACCGATCAAAACCCGTCCGGCCATCCCCCTCGGCCACGACCTCCCTGGAGGACAATCTCGTTCCTTTCCAATCCTCCTTTACAGCCTCCCATCTCCGCACCCGTGCCTCCTCCTCTCCCACGCATCTCCCCCCCACCCTCCCGTCTGCTCGGCCATTCCCCCCCGGCTTGACTCAGTTTGCCGCCGCCTCGTTCTCAAACACCGCCGCCGCGCCCATCCCCGTGCCGATGCACATGCTCACAACCCCCCATCGCTTTCTCGTCCGTCGCATCTCGTGCAGCAGCGTGGCGATTTGCCTGGCCCCCGTCGCCCCTAAGGGATGACCGAGAGCAATGGCCCCCCCGTTCGGGTTTACCTTCTCCATCGGGATCTTGAGCTCGCGCACGCAGTACAGACACTGGCTGGCAAAGGCCTCATTTATCTCAAACACATCCACATCCTCCACCCGCAGCCGGGCCTGGGCGAGGGCGGCCGGGATGGCCACGGCGGGGCCAATCCCCATGATATCAGGGGGTACCCCCACCACCGCGGCCCCCCTCAAAACGCCCATCACGTGCATTCCCTGCGCCGTGGCCGCCCCCCGACTCATCACCAGCACGGCCGCTGCCCCGTCCGTCATCTGGCTGCTGTTTCCGGCCGTGGTGCTCCCGCCCTCCGAGAAGGATGACCGCAGGCCTCCCAGCTTCTCAGGCGTCGTGCCCGGTCGAATGCCCTCGTCCTCCCTCACCACCGTCACCTCGTCCTCCCCCCCGTCCTCCCCCCCGCTCGACACCCGTACGGGCACGATCTCCTCGGCGAACTTGCCTGCCTTCACCGCCGCCTCCGCCTTGGCGTGCGAAGCCGCAGCAAACCGATCCTGATCTTCCCTCGAAACTTGAAAGCGGGTCGCCACCTCGTCACTGGTCTGGCCCATAGGGATGGTGCAGTCCTTGCTGAGCGCGTTCTCGCTGACCCGTTCGAAATTTACATCGGGCACCGAGGTACTCATATCCGTCAGGGACATGCTCTCCACGCCGCCGGCAATGCCCGCCTCGTAGAGGCCGGACTGGATGCTGGCAGCCACCTGGAGGAAAGCCTGGAGGCCCGAGGAGCACTGACGGTTCAGCGTGCAAAGGGGTACCTACCGAGGGGAGGGAGGGAGGAAGGGGGAGGGAGGGAGGAAGGGGAAGGGAGGGAAAGGAGGGGGAGAGACCAGGTCTGTGAGCTCTGCGTCCTGGGTTTCCCAGCTTTCAACGGTCTGCGTTAGGTGATCGGCAGGAAAAATCGGCCTTTCTGCTTTGAACTTTCAAAGCCAACATACACTATATCTCCCGCAACATATTCCTTCCTTATCTACTTTCCTTTCTTTTTCCCTTCCTCCTTCCCTTCCTGCTCCTCTGCCTGCTTCCCCTCCGCCCGGCCCCACTTCCGGCGGTACCTGATACGGGATCCCGGCATAAAATTGAGCCATACGCGCACCCACCGCTCCAGAACCAGGTTGTAGGACGTTACCCACAACAATATCACCAAGCGTGGCTGCGTCGACGCCAGACTGCTTCACCACCGCCTCCAATACCGGGGCCAGTAGGTCGTCCGTGGTGGTGCTCTTGAAAGCCCCACGCTTAGCCTTACATAGCGGAGTGCGCAATGCCGAGACGACCACAACGTCCCCCCCGAGGAATCCCGGCCTGCTAGTCTGTATTGTGGAGGGAAAAGAAGACAAAGATCAGAAGACGGGAATCGTAGGCAATTCTCATAGACGCGAAGAGGCACACTAGCCCTGGACACAAAGAAGAACTGTATTCTGATGGCCACTTCAGACATCAAACACGTATATATGTGCGTTTCTTCCTGAGTAGCGGCATAAATGCTGAATCTTGTGGCAGAGTGCCGGTACGTTCAAAAGGCAAAGCTGCGTTGAAGTTGCCTTGTCCATCACGTCGACAAGAAAGTAGGCCATGAAAAACATCTCATTTATCACTTTACGAGGCACGCACCTTTTTGACCAGATGTCCACCAAGGTGCTCCAGCCGCTTGTTGGCTTGCGAAGTTTGTGTGCTGCTCATAGTTTGCTTTGGTGACTTTGGTTGCGGAGAAGATGAACAAGAAAAAGTGCTTTGCCTACGTGAATGAAGCGATGATCCCTATTTGGTGTAAGTCAACGATAGAGGCTCAATGATAAGCAACACATCCGAAAGTATGGTATTTTGTACACGTGTAACACTCCCTTTCGCGAAACGTGCTACGAAGTGGAAAAAATCACAAACCTGGGCATGGACGAGGGGAGGCCTAGCTTTGCCTTTTCTCACGTTCGGGCGGCGGGTGTTTCTCGTCCCGGAGACTCTCTCTGTGATGATGTTTCTCGTCCATCTTTCCTTCAAGGGGTGTTTCTCGTGCCCCCCCTTCAACCCGTCTTCCCGCCTTCCACGCCTGTGGGCCCCCTGCTTTGACGTCAATAATTCTTTGAAAAGAAACGACACTTTCGAAACAACCAAGATACCCGCAACCATACTTTTGTGGCTGCATTGAAGGCCACTCACTGCATTCATGAGGGTTGTGCCACATCGACACGGGTGTCGGCGGAGCGCTCTCGCGGCTGGACCGAGTATGGGCCTCTCTCTCTCTCTCTCTGGCGCTCGTTGCTTTTGAAGGAAAGACGCACGCACAGAGACTACTTGCCTTTCTTGTGGGCCGCAGACAGTTGCGCACAAACAGCATATTTTAAAGTCCGAAATTCCATTCATTGTCTACATATATGGAACTCGTATTGCGGACTTGTTCAAATCAGCACGCAACGCCTACAGTCGACTGTCCTCGTTTTAATTGGGGCTTCATAGGCGCCCACGCCCATTTTATTCGTCCCTCTCCTTCTTTTTCCCTCCTTTTACATTTACCAACGACTCGTAATTGGCACATATTTCTGAGGACACTTGGCACTTTTAATCATTTGCAGACTGTACGAAGCCGCGTAAATGTGTTTTTAGAGACCCAAGGTTAAAAGTGTTCTTGTTGATGTTGCACGAATACAGCCGCCGCCCATAGAAGAACTTTCAAACCCCAAGAGAGTTGCCCATCCTCGCACACTTACAAACACATTATTCCACAGCGACAAAATGACAAATAAAGCCATGGCTTTCCTTGGAGACCAACACCATCGCGAAGGCGAGCGGCGACAATCGAGCGAATGCTCAGGGCTTCAGCATGCTATCAGACCTGCAACGCGCCAAGAGACAGCATTGCCATCCCGATCAAATTCCACGGCATCAGAGGACGACGAGGACATCCAAAGCGACCTCGTGCCTTCGGCCAATACATTCATCCGCAAGCTCTTTCAAATGGTCACGAGTGAGAACAATGACATCATCTCCTTTACTCCAGGTACGGTTTCAATTTCGATCAGACAAGAGAATGTTGCTAGCTTCCCTCCCTCCCTCGTCCTCCATGCATGAAGCTTATTTTTGCTGCATGAGAGCTTGTCGACCCCTGAGCATGCGTCAAGGCCAATCCAGGAGATTTTGCTGGGACCTCTGACCACCCGTCAATTCTGCCCATGGTCCTTTTTCCTCGCAAACCTGACGCCCGACCCCTTCCTGCACATATCGCACAGATGGTCTCTCCTTCCACGTGAAAGACCCCGTCCGTCTCGAGAACGAAGTGCTCCCCAAGTACTTCCGCCACTCCCGCTTTCAATCGTTGGTCCGCCAGCTCAACTTCTACGATTTTAAAAAGATCAGCAAAGAGCGCGTGATCTGGATCTACCGGCACAAGCTCTTCCAGCAAGGCAAGCCCCACCTCTTGGACGACTTGAAACGGAAGCCATCCGCCTCCCTAGTCAAAAGCCGGACAGAATCCTCGTCCCGCCGGGGCAGCGGCAGCATGGGCCGGCACGGCGCAGGCAACAGCCATAGCGTCGGCCGGCCCATGTCCGCATCCGGGAGCCGCCGTGGGAACAGCTCCGTCTCGCCTCTCTGCAGCTTCGAGTCAGGGACCACCACTCCCTCCTCCTCCGATAGCAGCCCCAGCATTTCGCCTAGCCGGGGGGGCCTCAAGCGCACGCGCCGACAGGAAGCCTCCCTCTCCCGCGCCTCTTCCTCCTCCTCCTCCCTCACCTCTTCCGAGTCCTCCCCCGTTCCGTACGACGATGCGAAGCACTTGGTGGCGGGTGTGACGGGGGCGGGCATGACTTGCCTGGAGACCCTTTCACAAGCCGCCAGTTCGGTCGGTCAGAATGCCCCGAAGGCAGCGCGGCTGGAAAGAGAGGCTGCCGCCTCCTACGGCTCTCACGGGGAGGAGGAGCAGGAGGAGGAGGAGGGGATGCAAGTCTCGTATTGGCAGCCGCCGGACGAGGAGCCTGAGGAGGAAGTGGAGGTGCAGAAGGAAGAGGAGGATGAGGCGTGCTGGGTGATGAAGACGATGATGATGCGGGGACGGGAGGGGGGCGCGGAGTCGGGCTTCGAGGAGGGAATGCAGGCGCTGCCGGACGAGGAGGAGATCGTGGTCGTGACCAAGGCAAGCTTTGTCCCCACCTTGGCGAAAAAGGAGGGCCCACAGGGGCACAAAGCGCATCCTCCCTCCCATCCATTCGCCCACGGCCCGCGAGAGACGAGTCCGGGCCCCGAGAAGTCCTCCCTGGACACCTTGGAGTCAAGCCTCTCCCCCCTCCTCCTTCCCTC